TAATGAAATCCCTACCAGAATACCAACAACAATTTCACAGAACCAGAACAAATAATCCTAGAATTGGTATAGAACCACAAAAGACCCCTACTAGCCAAAGCAATCCTGAGAATGAAGAAGAAAGCTGAGGTATCACAATCCCAGATTTCAAGATATACTACAAAGGCTGTAGTAATCAAAAGTAAAAGTATGGTACTGACATAAAAACAGACACACAGATCAATAGAACAGAATACAGAGCCCAGAAATGAACCTATGATTATATGGTCAATTAACCTATGACAACGGAGGCAAGAACATACAATGGGGAAAAGATAGTCTCTTCAACAAATAATGCTAGGAAAACTGAACAGCTACATACAAAAGAATGAAACTATACCACTTTCTTACCCATACAGAAAAATAAACTCAAAATGGATTAAAGACCTAAATGTGAGAACTGAAACCATAAAACTCCTAAAAGAAATCTTAGGTAGTAATATCTTTGACATCAGCCACAGAAACATTTTTCTAGATATGTGTCCTCAGGCAACAGAAATAAAAGCAAAATTACACTATTGGGACTACATCAAAATGAAAACCTTTGCAGAGTGAAGGAAATCATCAACAAAATGACAAGGCAACCTACTGAATGGGAGAAGATATTTAAAAATGGTATATCTGGTAAGGGGTTAATATTAACAAAATATAAAGAACTTATATATACAATGCCAAAAAAATTTTTGATTGAAAAATGGGCAAAGGACCTGAATAGAATTTTTCAAAAGAAGATATATAGATGGCCAACTGCCACATTAAAAGATTCTCAACATCAGTAACCATCAGGGAAACGCAAATCAAAACCACAATGAGATATCACCCTACACCTGTCAGAATGACTAGACTAAAAAAGAGGTGAAAACAAGTGTTGGTGAGGATGTGTAGAAAAAGGAATTCTTGTGCACTGCTGGTAGGAATGTAAATTGGTGCAGCCACTGTGGAAAACAGTATGGATGTTCCTTATAAAATTAAAAATAGAAATACATATGATCCAGTAATTCCACTACTGGGTATTTACTCAAAGAAAATGAAAAGACTGAATTAGAAAAACATATGCATCTCTATGTTTTTTGCAGTATTATTTACAATAGCCAAGATATGGAAGCAACCCAAATGTCCATCAAAAGATGAACAAAGAAAGAAAAAGTGGTATACACACACACAAAGAACTATTACTCAGCCATAAAAAAAGGATGAGATCTTGCCATTTGCAATAATACAGATGGACTTAAAGCATATAATGCTAAGTGAAATGAGTCAGACTGAGAAAGACAAATATCATATGATTTCACTCATGCATGGAATTTAAGAAACAAATGAACACAGAAAAAAAAGAGACGAAAAACAAGACTCTTAAAAACAGAGAACGGGTGGTTGCAGAAGGGAAGTTGGGGGGGGGGGATAGGTGAAATTGGTGAAGGGGATTCAGAGTACATTTATCATGATGATCATTGAGTAACATACAGAATTGTTGAATCATTATATTGTACATTTGAAACTAGTATTAACACTGTACATTGGGGTGCCTGGGTGGCTCAGTCAGTTAAGCATCTGACTCTTGATTTCAGTCAGCTCAGCTCACGATCTCACAGATTCATGAGTTCAAGCCACACATCAGCCTCCATGCTGGCACTGCAGAGCCTGCTTGGGATTCTCTCCCTCTATTTCTCTGCCCCACCCTGCTTGCACGCACACATGCTCTCTCTTACTATCTGTCAAAATAAACAAACTTTAAAAAAAAGGCTGTATGTTAATTATGCTTCAATAAAAAAAGAAAAAAGAACCACAGTAATGCAAAAATACATATTCTCTACTGAGATAGCTATCACTAGTTTTCGGCATATGAAAAGCTCTTATAAAATACCAGGCAGAAATTTTCATCCTCCTCTCTCTGGCATCACATTCACCAGCCTGGAAGGGGCAGTCTCCTGCCCCTTGCTCTCAGACAGCCTGCTGCCTCACTCCCTTCCCTTTTCCTAACTGAGGCTTCCCTCCAGCATATCAGTCACTCTGGGCAAGAAGTAAACCCTTCTTCATCCCATTCTGTCATGTAAGATCGTATTGAAAAAGAAAGGAGATGCAGCAGAGATTAGGTTGGGCACACATGCACCAGCCCTTCACAGGAAAAGATATTGCCAGCAAACCAATGACAGCACCAAAATCCCACCATCAGCATGGCCCACGCATTGCTGTACTCACCCAGCAACCCCTGCAAGGTGTCAGGCATTGGCTACGCAGGCCCTGGAGCAGTAGGGCCCAGCACTGCCTCTTCCAACCACCCCATGGGAGACAGCCTCTTTCAGAGAGGTTGTTAGTGGGGGCAGAGGGTGATGTATCCCCTGGAAATGAACCAGAATACTCATGGTAGCTTCTTCAGCTTTATACCCCCAGAAGGAAGGAAACACTATTATTAGGGTACAAGACAGAAGCAGGAGCTTGGGATAAAAGAATTATTTAAATCAAGACTTCAAGCCATTCTAGCTGAGTCTAGAGAATGAGATTTACTAATGAATCAAGACTAGATTGTCCTGGTAAACACAAGTAGAAGAACGTTCCTATGGTAGAGACAACCAACCGTCTACCAAAATCACTGCCCTCCTCTTCATAGTATGGAGCTGCCTCTGGGAAGTGCCTGCCTGGGAAGGAACTAATTTTCCAGCTTCCTTCCCAGCCAGACAGGGCCATGTGACAGGCTCTCTGTTGAGTGATGAAGGTCATCTTCAGAGCCTCCTCCACTATTTTCTCTTCCACTGAAATGCAGCTGACTCCACAGGCCTAGGAAATTGTAGAGCCCCAGATGAAAGCAACCAGGGTCTCTGGATCACCCGTGATGAGGAATGGCCACTGCCTGGAATGCCCACTCGAGAAGCAAAGTTGTGTCATGTTAAGCCACTGAAAGTCTGGGAGTTATTATAGCACCTAGTGTTATCCTAAGCCACCCCCTTACAAACCTAAGTAAGGAAAGTGGTCAGTTACACTAGGGGAACCCCTTCTTCTATCTGGGGCTTGGGCAGAAATAAATCAATGGGAGGAAACGCTGACTATTGCCCAGAGAGCAGCTGGTTCTACACCAACGGACAGGGATTAGTGGACAGGCATTTTGAAAGTTCTGCTGTGGTATCCCAGTCTGGTGTTTTATCCTGCTTCCTAGGGTGAGTCCCTAACACCCCACCCTACTGCTCTGGCTTCCCCAGGACACACCTGAGCCACATCCATAAGGAGTCCTGACTTCTTGTCAGCTATAAACTGCACAGCATCCTTCAGAATAAAATGCGCAACCTCATGAGAATCTCCATCCTGGGGCCAGGTGTGGGGGCAGGCGTGAAGGGTGGCTGAGTGATGGGTGCCATTCCTCTTGTCTTTTTGCCCATACACCCACCCAAAGGATTTGTGGCTTCTTCTTGTTTGGCATCCAGTGTCAGAGGCCTTCCTCTGCCTGCACTGTGAGGACAGGTGAGGAGGAATGGAGCAAGCTGTCCCTCCATGTCCCTAAAGGACACCCAAAAGCACAGCCAAAGGACATCAGGCCCCACAGCTGGTGTGTCCACCACCATTTCCCTCTGCATAAGAGTCAGCTTGTTGATACATTAGCTGGCATTAGCTTTAAAATACTCCAGCAATGGGGCGCCTGGGTGGCGCAGTCGGTTAAGCGTCCGACTTCAGCCAGGTCACGATCTCGCGGTCCGGGAGTTCGAGCCCCGCGTCAGGCTCTGGGCTGATGGCTCAGAGCCTGGAGCCTGTTTCCGATTCTGTGTCTCCCTCTCTCTCTGCCCCTCCCCCGTTCATGCTCTGTCTCTCTCTGTCCCAAAAATAAATAAACGTTGAAAAAAAAAATGTAAAATACTCCAGCAAGGGGCTTGGATGAACAACAAGACAGGCCAGTGTTGATCTTTATGGAAGACAGATGGGGGCTACATGGGGATTTATTATACTAGCCTCTCTTACTTTTATGCATGTTTGAAACTTTTTACATAAAAAAATAACACCTTTTTTTGCAAAGAAAATTTCTCGATGGGTCATAGGAGAAGAGGCTCACTGAATTAATGCCACTCCTTCTCGTCCCCATGCCTCTTCAGGACGCCCTGGTAACTCTCATGAGGAGGAGGTGTTTACAACAGGCAGACTTGTGGGTTTTTTCTATTTCCATTAATATTTAGTACATGTCATTATCTCCAAATCTAATCACTTAAAGAAGGGATTTTAAATAATTGATTACTACAAAAGACAAAGAGGCCACACCATGTTTTTTCATTATCCATCAAAACCTAGAAAACCTCTTCGTCTGGTCCTGACACGGACGCATAAATATATTAATGCATACACTGAGAAAAACACGCATACAAATCAATAGACATGAATTTGCTTGGGGTACTTTTCAGAGAGAAAAACATCATTTCCTTTCCATCCCCCATGAGGCCTGCCCCTCCTCCCCAACACAGTGACATAGCAATGAGAGAAAGGGTTCAAGTGGTACCCCTGCACTCTTCTACTCAAATAAATGTCTCCTCTTACACTCCCAAGTTTCAGTCTCCAAAACATACAAACAGCCAACATGTCTTGAACTCTGATAAAATATGTGCTGCCTTTGTGGTCATACGCATGCATATGTATATGCACGAACGTGTTCACACACCTAGAGAAAACGCTTGCATCTACACTTCTTACAATGTCTTTGTTCCCGGCACGTCCTTGGAGGAGGGCACCCAAAGAGAACCATCGTGAAGATGGCACATGAGCATCTCAGACAGACACCTGAGGGCTACCCTCAGATGTACGGAGGGAAGATGCATGGTGGCTGTTAACTACGTGCCCATCTGCATTGACAAGTGCCAGTTTCATGAAGGTCTGCATCCTGTTTTCTGCACAGAGCCAGAATTCTTTGCCATTGCCCTTAAAGTATTCACATCTCCACGGGGAGGGCCCTGCTCTAAGGCCACCATGGAGACTGCGTGCGGACTTACCACGAGGGAGAGAGGCCTCTTCCAGGAGACGACGCCAATGAGTCCTGACAGCAGCACCTGGAAGGACAGACAGTGCAGGAAGGTAAGACTCTTTGGAATCCGTTAACAGATGATCAAAACACAGTATTAGCTGATCAACCCAAAGAAGGATGACTTCTAGAATATGGCCCACATACATGAGCTGGGTGACCATGAGGCGTGTGGTCCATCCAGACGTTCAGAGCCTGCAGCACACGGGCCTCTGAGACCACCAGGAGGTCCTGACAGGTCACTTATGTTCTTTATGGACAGGCCCAAGAACAAATGTGCTTTCTGAAAGTGTCTCCATCGGGCACTTATTCCCCTCTGGTCCTGTGAGTCATTTAGCCCTGTGACTTAAAAATCACAGAGAGGACTGAAAACACTACTTTGGGAAAAGGCAGAGCCACCCCCCTTGCATGTCACCTGAGCGCATGCCTTCTGTGCATGGGTACTGGGTACAGCAGACCTACCAGGCCCCCCTCTACCCTTTCACACACTTGGTCCCCAGCCAGCTTCCCACCTCACCAGATGAGGTCCCGGCTTTCCACATGCTGACTCTGAGCTGCTCGCTTCTTTCCCAGGCCAGCCCCCCAGGCTTTGCTGCCCCAGGTCCCACAGAGCTGTCTCCTCCAGAACATCTTCTGGCAGCCACGCCCCTCTGTTGGCCCCTCCCCTCTGGGTAGCCCTAACCACAGGAACACCCTCCTGTCTTCTGTTCTCAGAAGAACCACCCCTCAGCTCCTGGCCAACCTTTCCCTCAGGCTGCTCCAAGCCCACATTCCCTGAGGCAGTCACTGGATGCTGATCCTGAAATTCCCAGTCTCCTTGGGTCCAGGCAGGGCAGACAGATCAGAGAGACACAGCCGCTCTCTCCCCACTACAGTGTGGCTTCAGCCCTTGCCACTGGCAGACACACTTCCCAAGGTCACCTAAGGGGTCCCTGAGTGCAACACACAAGTACAGCGATCTCGGCTTGAAGACAGGAGGCTGACCACATATACCTATGGGTGGCACACTGTCCTCTAGGTTCTGTGTCACTCCCCTGACACTCTCCCTTCTCTGGCTGCCATCCTCTGCTCCATGCTGTCCTTCCACATCTCCCTCCCCTTCCCACTTCCCAAGACCTCTACTCAGGCTCCGGCTCTGCCTGAGCCATCTGTCATTGGGGATCCTCTAACACTATCCACCAACACCTCCTGCAGGTCGGTCCCTGACTGCGGAATCACACTGCCTGCCGGGCACTGCTCCTGGTGTCACTCTCCACCTCAACCAGGCTTCAACCCACACATGTCAAGACTCATTTCTATCACCATTTTGGAGCTATTGTATTCTACAGAGAAGCATACTGGGAAGAGACCAATGGGCAATTTCTACCTCCCCAACCCAGTCTCCCTCTTATCGTCT